ATATATCTTTTTTTCAGCAATATTCAAGTTCTGTACTACCAATCAACTATTTGTTTCCTATTATCAAACCAATCTTACAGCCCCCCCGCCCACATTCTAATAAGTAACTCCCTACACCATGAGCTCTTATTTTGTGGATTGGGCAAAAAAATTTTGGACTATAAATGCTACTTTAAACAGGGAAGATATGCAAGGTGTTTGCAGTTTTAAAAGCAAGTTATTGGGACACATTGTATATACATCACACAACGTTGCCCTTTCCAAGTAGTGTGAAAGAATTCCAGAGAAATCAGCATTAGTTGTTGTGGGATCAGAAGGACTCAGTAGAGTAACAACTTCCCAACAGGTGGCTACAGCTTTGAGTAGAAACGACAAAGCAGAAATATTTAGCTTGTGACGAGAAAATATCCATCTCTCTCTTTCTCTGTCCCCTCAGAGTGGGGAATTAGGAAAAAAATTCCTAGTAGCTAGCTATTATCCAGTGAGTTGCTCTCTCTACAAATTCCCTTGCTCTGTGAACTTGAACTATTACTTTTAGTTTCCAATAAAGAGGGAACAGTGGAGTCTGTCAATAATAGCACCATTTCTAGCATAATTATCTGTACATGGATTGTTGTAGGCAAACAAGTCAAAGTAATACACCATTCCTGAATAATGCAACTAAAAATTAACCCTATTTCTTTATAATTGATACTGTACAAGGTACTGACAAGCAATGCTACTCTGGAAGAATGATTAATAGTTTGGTTGCTTTCAATATATTATAGAAATCTCATATTCCTTTCACGGCTTAACAAGATTGAGAAAATACTTTTGTGCATGAATAACTTGGAGCTGAAAGGAGACTGCAGATGTTCCAACGCTTATCAGCCTGACTCCTGTATTGCCTTGCAGTGTTTGCAAAAGATTTCGGTGGAACGAACACGGTTTTTGCTAAAATGTGGGGCGACAGTCCTTTATAACTCTGCAAATGGTTTGCAACCAAAAAAAGAGATTTTTTAAAAAGTTGCCACGGTAATGAGCTAAACAAAAATAGGGAGGTTCAAGGATTATAATTCTACTGTACATAATTACAGGTTTGTACTTGAACTCAAGGTGTAGGTTTTGTCATTACATGGCTCACAGAGGATTTTGCCACTTACTGTATTATTACTTCGACAAGTAACACTTAATTCTGTGTTTAGGTTATCCTTCTGAAACTCTGATTTCCCTGGTTGTAGAAGTGTAAATACTTGTTGATATTATAGTGCAGATGTTAATTGCCAAATTCTGTTGTCAAGCCTTTTAGATGCCAATATTGAATACCATGCTCAGAATCTGGAGAATTCATTCAGAATTACACTTATGAAACTGAAGTTGGATAATTATTCATATTGAAACAAGTTAAATCACACTGGATCATCTCAGTCAGTGGTGGCCTTGGAAATTATAGTCGATACAGCATCTGAACACTTGGACATTAGAAAGGAATTTGCTCACAAACAAAAACAGAAATTGCTGGGAAAACTCAACACAACTGGCAGCTCCTATGGGAAGAAAGCAGAGTTAACGTTTCGGGTCCAGTGACTCTGCCTCAGAACTCCAGAAAGCAGTTTGCTGGCTGGTGGAAATTTGCCTCCAACAGGGAGTTTTACTTGATAGGACAACGTTTATGTCGCCTCCTGCAACACAAGAAATTAGGTGTGGTTTTGAAGAATTTAATTAAGAATCGTGAACAAACACTACATTCCTCAGGCACTAAATGTCAGGGCCAACATGAAGCTATTAGTTTACAACAGAGGAGTACTTCCAGTGTCATGTTTCAAGGTGACCAGAGGGATGGTGAAACAGGAGACCTTCTTACCAGCAGGTCACATGCCAAGATGCAATAATGGTATCATAAGTCTATCTCTTAAAACGGTATGCTGACATACTGACTGTGAGACAGAACACAACACTGGGATAAATCAGTGTTCTCAGTGGGATTCACTTGGACAGTTTCAGTGAAAATGTGTTTGCACAACACCAGTGAACCAAAGGGCCTCTGTGCTGTAAACTTGTATCAATTTTATCTTGAAGATTACGTAAAACAATTTCAGTTATTAAACTCAGAATATCAAATTATGTAAGTGCTTGCCTAGAAGTGGAACTCTGAAGCTTCAGTGAATCTGCCAAAAATGGATTGACTTATCCATAGCGCACAAGATACGAACTGCTAGTGTAGGTGGTTGCCATTTTGCAATGTGAAAACTATAATCTATAATTCATATTCAAGTTAATTGTCATAGTTTATGGAATAAATTAATTACTCCACCAGATGCAGGAGCTGAAGTGGGCCATTTGGGTCATTGAACAGCATGGCAGACTCAATGAGATCACGGCTGCTCTGATAATGCTCAACTCCACTCTCCTGCCTTTTACCCCATGAACCTCAAAGCCCTTCCTGATTAGAAATCTGACTATCTCAATTTTAAAATATATTTAATGTCCCAGTTTCTACAGCCATTTGGAATTAAGAATTCCTTATACTTACTACACTCAGAAGACATTCCTCTTAGTCTCTGCCTTTAATGCACAACACCTTACTCTTAGATTCTCCTCTCTCCTGGATTCTCCCACAGCAGAAATATCCTCTCAGATCTACCTTGCCAAGCCTCCTAAACGTTACATTATAGTTGTACAAAGATACCTTCAACCACAATGAAAGCGTTTTAAAATGCAAATTGATACTCTTAAGCATCCAAGAATAAAAGTTAAATCTCATTCAGTCTGAGTTTCTGTGACTACAGCATCATCATAAGGATCTTGTTCTGGATTAGAGAGATTTCAGGATCAGCACGACAAACCATCCTTCCCTCCAACCACTGAACTCGATATTCTATATTTTAATGATCTGATGTATATATATCCCACAATTCAGTGCCAACACCACCCAAAATTTCAAAATGCACAGGACCCATGTTTCCATTTTTAAAATAAATACTTCTTTCTTCTCGTCAAAATGTTGAACTACAGATATTAGACCATGAGTAAATTACATTATCTCTTCACAGATTCCTCTTGATCTGATCCGCTTTCTAAGATCTGAACAACTCCCAACATGAATAAACTATATTCTTTCCAAGGGCCACCTATTCCACTCATCCACAATTTCACTCTATCCTCATCCAACCAACAGTTGTCATGGACATGCAGTAAAATCCCTGTGGGGAACTGGAGTTAAGCATGCTTGAACGTTTCAAAATAACCATTGGGAGGGCTGCTATCTTATTCTATTAGCAGTACCACTGTGAATCCTGTTTTCACGAGAGAACCTCAGCAGATCTGGCAGCATCTATGGATAGGAAGCGGAGTCAAAGATTCGGGTGTGGTGACCTTTCTTCAGAATCCAGTTTAACATCTTTGTAACTGTTCAAATTACACAAGTAGGCCACGTATCACAGAATTACATGATCCATTGGAGAACATGGGGGCAATATTGACAGTACAAGTGAATGCCCATATTAAACAGTTGTCAGTGAACTGGAGTTTTAACCTTTTATGTGCTGTGATCAATAAAATAGGAGCCTTCAAAAAAGACACTCAGTCTCTCCAAACCTAAAGAGATGTGATCACCATGCCTGGGGTACAACTTTACTACACACTAACCCCAGACTCAACTCCTAAAAAAAACAAACAAACAATCACCAGTAAACTGAGATTTCACCACATGAAGTCAGTTGATATGGATAAAGCACTTCAATCTTTACATAGTTCATTAAATATATTTATGTAGCATAAATATGTACTATATAGCAGTCGACAAAGATGGATACTTGTAAATCAACCTAGTTCCAGCATGTAATGACACACCTCTGGAGGTAGGGGGAAGTTGAACCTGGGCCTTTTAGGCCACGGTGGGCACATGAACACTGTGCCACAGGAGAACCATAACAAATTCTGATGGGGTCTTGACCTTCCAATCATTCTGTTAGCAATCAGTTTTAAAAAGGTGTCCTAAATTAGGACCACATTGCACATTAGGTATGATGTTCTTGGATAGTAAATAACAGGCATAGAAAGGGCACAAACTTTTCTTCTAAACATTTTATCTCTGACTAAAGGACAAACTGAAGGAGCATTTTATAGAATAGGTTACTATCTGTGTAACATTGTGTAGCTGGTATCCAAGCTTCAAAGACATGGAGTGACAGGCAAATCGAAGGAATTGTTCCTCTTAAAAAAAAAGGAAGAAATATTGGAAGATATTTCCATGCAGCTCCTCATATTCCATTGTAAAGTACTTTTGTACGACTGGCTTTCTTGCTCCCATCTAACAAGAGCCAATTTCATACAGAGCTTTTACACATTCAGCGCTAGGCTCTAGCTACCATCACACCATGTGATCTAATTTACAATTCACATTGCTGTAGATTTCTTGCAACTCCTGCTAATATTCAAGTGTGAAACTGAATGGTTGAGAATCAGCAACTCTCAGATATATCTTTACAACAACAATTTCAGAAACAAACACCGACCCTCCCTCTACAGAAGACAGTGAAAAGTGCAAATGAACAAAAAATAAATGAAAACACATCTTTACAAATAATCTAAGCTTTCAAAATTCAAATAGGATTTTTAATTAAATAGTTCCAGAAAACATAATGCGGATTTAATTTAGCCTTTAGACACCGGTTGTCCAGTTTAAATACTTTTACTTGTGCACAAGTTTCATCAATTCAAAATGTACGCTGCTGAGATTTTCCCCAGCAGCTTTTAAAAAGGCACTATCTGTACACTTTTCTGCATTACATTTTCAAACTGGTAAAAGCATAAATATTACAATGCAGGCTCATGAAGAATGGAAGAGTACTCATTGGCCAATTTTACATCATGTATCTTTGAATGGGTGACTTATTTGTAAACTATAAAATGTTCACTTCACACCAATCATTAGGTTACAAGTCTAACCAGCAAAGCTTACATCAAGAATCTCAATAATATTTACAGAGCGAAATACTTAATGAAGTACAACTACTTACCACAGTTAATGCTTTCTAGCTGTACTGGAAGGTTGGATTGGGCTGCAGCTATTAGTTTCAGAGCAATGTAAAACTGACCACGGCCAAAATAACCCAGTTGCTTTGCGCCACAAAGGTTCATGATCTAAGAGGAGAACAACAGTATCATTGTTAATACCTTGTGAAAGAACACTCCACAAAATCATTCAATTGACAATGGGATTTGCAAAACTATGAAGTGCCACACAAAGGAAATATATTATGCACAGATCAGAAGGCACAGATTAGATTAGAAAACAGACAAGGAAGGCAAACATTAGAATTGATTTAGACTTCCTTTTCCTTTTTTTCAATATGTTTCTTATTTAAAGTTATCCTCCCTTTTTCTTTTTAAAGTAGGACAAGACATTGAAAACATAAAAATTCCACTAACAGTCTCATTCAACAATTCACAATCTACCTTTTGCATAACGATGTTTTCTAGTATTATTTTGCGAGATAACTCAAATCATTCTAGACCTACAAGAGTGTTGACTAGAGAAACAGCCACATGAAAATAGGCACCGGAGAAGAGTGTTAGACCTGCCCATTTAAATGGATACAAATTGGGGCCTTCATTACAAAATCAGCTACAAATTTATATGTTGACTGGAGAGAGGAAAGGGACCCACCCTCAATTACACTATAGATCTCTCAGACACTCCTCATTTCATAGAGGATTTGAAAATGCAAAACACCAGACAGTCACATTTTTCCCAAACGTATGTAATGATAGAAACAGAGAAAATCGGTCCCACAGCCAAACAATCGTTCACCATTTGGGTGCCCTTCATGGAAAAGTTGCTATTGTTGGATGTCTGAGTTAGAAAGTTGCGGATTCAAGTTCCATTCCTGGATTTGAGTACGAAAGAAATCAAAGCAGACATTCCAGTGCAGTACTGAGGGAGTGCTGCTCTCCCAGTACAGTCTTTCAGATTAGACATTAAACAGAAGTCAGTCTGTCCTCAGATGGATGCAACAGATCCCATGGCATGATTTCAAAGAGGAGTAGGGCAATTATCAGTGGTGTCCTAGCCAAAATTAACCTTCAAATCAATATTTAAAAATATACATAGATTACCAGGTCATAATCACATTACTGTTTGAGAGACTTTGCCATGTGTAAGTTCGCTGCAACTTTTCCTTCATTATAGCTACCACTAAAACTTCAAAATATCCCACTACCTACAAAACAGTTTTAGAGATTGTGATGGGTGCTACATAAATGCCAGATTTCCTTTGCACAACCATGTCCCAAGGATTAACTAGTACCTATCACCTAGCTGCCTCACGGTCATATTCAAGTCTCTTGTAGCAGACTTTACTTCTAAAACTAGTTTGAAATTAAAAAAACCCTTCTGCTCATTTTAATTTAGCTTAAATTGCAATGCAGCATTTATTTCTGTGACTTTCAGGATGCATTGAAAATAAATTTGAATTTGGTGAATGGTGATTGCAGTTTTGAAGGTACCATATTACTCTAATCAGGCTCTGAATTAATATAGATTTGCAAAAAAAAAGTGAAACTACAATGTGGTGTCAAATAAGGTTGCAATACTCAGGAGGGTACAACTGGAGGATTGAAATATTAAATAACAATACTCTTGGTCATGCTTTCAGACAGCTCTGCGCAGGAATCAATGCATCAAAATCTCTTCTTGCCCAGAAATGTAGTTTTAGCTAGGTGATATCAACATACCATTATCTTGTTATAAATCACACTGCAGTCAATTATCTGAAACAGGTAAATGTAACATCAATGCACTACTACATGGGGTTGAATGCACCTCCTTCAGCATCTTGCATTTGGCCGATATTTAAAGAAATTACTCAGCTAGAACCTCTGCCTCAGCAAAGGACGAGATTACTTGGTGCTGTAACAACTTAAAATTTCTTAATCTCTCTCTTCTAGTTCTTGGGGAAAAAAAAGGTCTGTCTCGTGATCTGCAAACATCTATGCAGCCAAAAACCAGTATGTCCATCTCACCATTACAGCTTCAGGTAACTTCTTGGATAAACTCTGAATCATAGAGCTGTTCCCAGTATAAGAGGGAAGATTCTTGTAACCCATAGAATCAGAACTCTAACCAACACTTCCAAAGCTAGTCTAGAAATGGACAGAAATAGCTGTAATCCAAGAAATGACTGATGTAATAAGTTTGGAAATCAGAGACTACTGTACTTTTTTTCCCAGGAAATAAATTTTCCACATCGGAGGCACATGACTTTCAGAATGTTCTGTCAAAGGTGAAAAAAGGTACTGCAAAGAACTTTAAAGTATTGTGTGTGTCAGAATGCTTAATTCTCATTTGATTTTTCAGGTAATAGTCATTTTTTTTTTACTGCAATGTGCAGGGGTCACTGGGCCCGGTTTTGCACACCCAGTTTTAACTTGCCCCAGTGTAATGCCTTTGATCAATTTCCCTTAATCAGGAAAGAACTATATCCTTTTCTGAACAGCTAAACTGGATGATATTACAGCTATTATTCACTACTTCACATTTCTAGCTTGTTTAGCTAATTCACCTTCAACTCATTAACAATAAAAAGAGTGCATTAGGTCAAGAGGTGCAGCTACAAATAACTGTGGACCTCCACACACAGGGAAAATGTAAACTAATTATAATTAGAGGTAATATTTACTGGCAATTCACTATCACATCTGAATATCCTGATAAGCCTTAGTTTTTTCAAATCACTGATGGAAGATTTAAAATCATTTTTTTATTATTAATTACAGCACTAAGCTCGAATTTCATTACTCGTCTTCTATATTAGCCTGGCATTCAAGAATCTAAGATTTTCAAGCAGCTTTTGAAATTACTGAATGGCTCAGTTACTCACAGATAATCTCACTGAAGGAAGGCCTTTGCTTTAGGCAAGGTCCAACTCTCAGACCAAACAAAAAGTATCAACACAGAAATATTCATTTTCTTTCCACACCCTTCACACAGTTCATCTAAAAGTAATTCCACCCAGACAACTACACCCCTCCGTCTCTTTACAGCACCCTTCTTCAGTATACAACTCATATGGTCAAATTAACCAGTCCATCAATTGTTCTATGTCTCCTTTCATTCTCCTGCTCCCACAAAAGTAACAATTTCTTTCCACTAAACAAATACTTAGCCCACAATTTGCCCCAAGCCCCATTAGCTTTATTGTTCAACAGAAGGATAACATCTGTGTTTCATGTCCTGTATTAAGTTTTTAAACCAAACCTGACACCTATAGCTCACCATAAACATTTTCTACGGCTGATGCTTCCTGCACAAAGTAGTGCATGACAGTTTCCAGCAAGGTAAAATGAGATTAGCTCTAAAAGATGTTAAGCCTTTAGCAATCCTTACATAAGCCTTTGTCCCTTTAATATCTGTTAACTGTTTGACTGAATCTCAGACTCCCTCTTCACACTTAAAATCATACACATCTGTCAAGTCTGTGAAAATAATCCACAATTTCATTCCTTCATTCCCAGTATTTTTCAATCAGGTGTTTGAAATCCAAAAAAAGGGTAAGCATGTGCACAACTTCTATATCCACCAATTTTCAACAATTAATCAGACTTATTTATCTGTAGCCACATGGTAAAACCGTACATTTTGTCCCTGGAGAGGCTGGTAATGCAATGATTGGCTAGAGACTTGCACACCAACTGGGATGTTTGACCTGATGTGGCAACACTTACATTAAACCAGCTGTAATGCAAAAAAGCTGGACATGGATATTGTGGTCTTGAAGAATCCAACAGATATTTGTCACAGGAAGCTATTATTATGCACAAGCATTAAATTCCCCAGGCACATGGGTATGTGGACTAATATTAAGCTGTTAGTTTACAACGAAGGAGCATGCTTCCAGTAAAAGTGTCATGCTTCAAGTGATAAGAAGCAAGAGACCCTCAGGTTATAAAAACAGGAACAAAAACGAAGTGCCGGAAAAGCTCAGCAGGTCTGGCAGCAACCATGAAGAAAAAAAAAGTTAACGTTTCGGGTCTGGTGACCCTTCCTCAGAACTGGGGACCCAGTTCTGAGGAAGGGTCACCAGATCCAAAACATTAACTCTGTTTTCTCCTTCAGAGATGCTGCCAGACCTGCTGCCAGACCTGCTGAGCTTTTCTGGCACTTCGTTTTTGTCCCCCATTTACAGCATCCGTAGTTCTTTTGCTTTTTACCCTCAGGTTATATGCTGTGATTCAATTAAAATATAATAAACATGTCCCTTAAATGAATACCAACCATAAGCCATAACTCAACATCCTCTTTTTTTCCCCCAAAAATAAACACTTATCCCTAACAGATGTACATGGTTGCATATAGGTATACGTTGTCAATTTGATAACTATATAAAACAGGTAAAAACAGATTTTACAAGACCAACATTCTAAACTTCAACGTAATGCCTTTCGAAGTTTGAATAGTGGTCCTGATCTGATGTTATACTTGTTTTGTGTTAGTCTTTGTTGGACTTTCTTGATAACCTGGTGTCTTAACATCATCACACAGTCATAGGAGCATTCCTCCTTGTTCTTTTTACACAATTACTGTGCTGTACCTTTCTCCAAGCTGGCATATGTTCCTTCTCAATGTAGCACCATGATCCATAATAAAAAGTCATTGCTTGTTCTGGAAACCTTTGCTATTATCCAGGTATTTGCATTTGGATGAGATGCAACTCTGAGAAACCATTACTTTCTGTATCAGGAAGAGAACATCTTAACCTCCAGCTTCTGCATTGTATTCCACTGCCTTTGTGGTGCAGCTCAAAAATGCACTTCAGACTTTTTATTACTTTTTAAATCAAGGCAATCTTTGAAAATTTATTCTGTCTTGAAAGAGCATATTCTAATCAAAAATAAATTACCATAGCTACCTTGGTGGGCAGTGCTATATCTAAAAACCTGTGCAGTTGTCAGCTTTTTCAGAAATTGGCATTGCTCATGGGTAAGAAATTCTCCCTTTGTCCGAATACTCTGTTGTCCAAAGCTATGGTCTGATTGGTCTTCAATTAGTTTTCCAAATATCTATCAAAGATATTGGAGACTTTCTAAATGATTGCCACTGCTACCCTGGTGTGAGCTTGCCTCCAACAAGGTATTTTACAGGA